TACCAACAGCAGAGCATTCATATATGTCAAAACATTTGTCGCAACTGTCGAAACTTAACCTCAATTTCTTATTTTGGTGTTTAGTAATAATTCAGTCAGAAATTTGTTGCAATATTGGATTTTTGTTATGTATGGTGATTTCAATTGAAGAACACTGGTAAACGTGAACTATTTTGTGTGCATAAATTTGCTTGATCACAAAAATGTATAATTATGTAAGCCAAATACTGCTACATTTACAATCTTTCGTATTTATTATATCAAGACTACGTGTATGATACAATACCAAAATTAAATTTTTTTACCATTTCTTATATCTGTTCCATACTAGTGTGCAATATAATTGTTGAAAACTTCAAATATTGTTGACTACAAATGATTGAATTTTAGAACACAATCTTTATTATCAGAATAAGTGCATTATTCAAATCCAGGACTGTTCCAGTTTGTAAACTGTAGGATGCAACATTGAATAACTGAAAACTTTTAGATCACATAATTTTTCTACTGAAACAAAGCTATTTTTTTTAAAAAAAGATAAAGCATAATTGTGGTAATATTTTTTATTGAATGTGAATTAAATACATAGTTATTTACAATAAATAGTTTACGAGTTAAAATCTATTTACACAATGTTAATATTAATGAGTAAAGCATGGCGTGAAAGAAAATTAGAAAACAAATTGTACCACATACCAGTAGAACACACAACCACATACCAGTCAAACACAATTCTTCATGATTCAAAACTTATTATTAGTAATGTTATAATAAATAAATCAAATATTCACAATTTAAAACCTATCACTATAAAATGTAATAATAAATAAATCATATTTACAATTAAAAACCTATTACCATAATGTAATAATAAATAAAAAATATATCGACAATTCAAAACGTATCACCATAATGTAACAATTAATATCATATTTACAATTTAAAACCTATTACCGTAAAGTAACAATAAATAAATCATATTGACAATTCAAAACCTATTACCATAATATGAAAAGAAATATGTATGATTATAATTCAAAACTTATCTCCGCAATATAGCTGTTAATAAATGTTATTCACATTAGAAATTTGAAAGATAGAATTGAAATGATAATATAAACAAATGAAACCAAATACCATAAATTGTGAGAGAAGAACTTTGTTGCATCATTAGATACACAAAATGCTCATTTCAACAATAGTGAATTATTACACAAACACACCACTCAAGTTGATTAAAAAGTAAAGCAACATAAATTATATAACATTACAGGTCAAATCCAACTTCAAATAAATCATAATATAGTTATAATTAGTCACAGAGTTATACATTTAATATTAGCAAAATAACATGTTTTATATGTTTATGTTTAAATTTACTGCTTTTGAATATAGTAATGCCAATATATGAATGTTCATTTTCTCATTGTAAAAAAAATAATGATTATTATTTGAAGAATTTGTGAATATGAATATATGAACATTTTCATTGATATTTAGATGCAATATCAACTTGAAAAAATAACAGTTAAAACATATGATGATATTGTAAGTTGATTATTAATTATACTTGGAACAATAGTTTCCAATATCCAACACCCATTTCCAATCCATTCCTTTTGGATTAATTCTGTTTATGATTAATGTATATATTATTTTTTCTGTTACTTATCATATCACAGATATTGTTGAAATAAGACTGAACTGATGATATTTTTCAATATTCACCTATATGTTCCAATTCTATTTATGTCATATGCCAATAGTTGTAATCATAAATATTGTGTATTTTATGGTTCACAATACAACTACTCGATCGATTATTTAGTAATCAATTTTTTGTAATATGTCCTAGTACTATTATTAGAGGTTCTTCACAAATTTTAGTGTAGCTATTTTGATCTATTATTGTTAATGCAAGTATGTATTATGATGTGCTGTGTATTATTAGCTTTTTTTATTTTTGCCATTCTGATCTAATATTGTGAATGTATGTATGTATTAATACCAGTATGTATGTATAAAACCAGTTCAAAAAAATAAGAGCTTCGAATAATACACAGCACATCATAATTATGATGTGCTGTGTATTATTCGAAGCTCTTATTTTTTTGAACTGGTTTTATTCTCTTAAATATAATAACAATTAGGAAAAGAAACTATGGTGCAAGGCATCAAACCTTAAGGCAAATTGCTGGAACTTTTTGCACCGAATTAAATATTCGAGGAAAAAAAATCAGTAATCAATAAATATTGATTTTTGATTATAATAATTGTTTTAAACATTTTCAAATAGGTAATTATAATCCTATGTATTTTATATACATCTTTTTTTTTGTAAGATTTAAGCGATTAAAGTAAACTTAATCTAATAATCTAAGTGATTAAACTAAAGTTAAGAATCTAAGTGAATAAAGTAAATTAATCAATAAAAGTGATAGGGGCTGAAAATAGAATGAAACTAAAAGCTAATGAGATGAAGAAACTCGCGTCTCTTGCTGAAAAGAAACTAACCTTATTCCCTAAAGAAGCTCTTGAATCCCGCAATAAAACAACAAATATAAAATGTAAAGAAATAAAATAGCGCACAATCAACAAAAGCACAAAATGATTAGTACACGGAGCAAAAAAACGTAATGAAAGAAAACGCGAATAAAAAATATAAAATACGAGACGACCGAGTTACACCGAGTAATCGTAACAGCGAATCCAACATAAAAAAGTCGAAAGCACAGTGCAAAAGATTTGACAAATCTGTAATGTGTTACAGCTAACTTCAGCCAGCTTTCTCAGCACTTTGTTATCCGGTGTTTAGAAACTCTAGTGTTTATCCTCTAGAAAATATTACAAATATTAGAATTAAAGACGTTTCTCTCGCCCGATTTTTACGTTCAGAAGGGATACTTAAAGGGTCCTCCGCTCAGAAGTGATGGCGTTGCTTTTGACATTCAAATTTATGGCGCAAAATTTGAAATGAAAATTAATAAACAATCGAATTATGTTTTGTAATAATACAATAATAACAAAAATATACTTGATATAATTATATTATAATAAATATACAATCAAATCGAAATATAAATAAGTGGTAATCCAATTTTATACAGCTGGAAGATTTCTAAATCTTTTGTCTTTCTTGTAGAAGCATATACATGATTGCATTACACAATTTCCTACAAATGGTCTTTTTCCTTAAAGTATAATATGATTAGACTAATCTGTCAATGCATTAAGCCCGAATCACACGAGGCTGGTTTTGTTGCTTTATGGCTCTGCTTGCCAGGTAGCTGGCGGTCGAGGGTCCAAAATGACGTCATAGCGATCTCGGTTTCTTGCCAGCATGCTGGATTTTGACATTAGAACGTGTGCTATTTTTCGAGATGGATTTGCCCGTCCGGACCAATCGGGAAGCAGTATTTTGTCACATGGTTCATCATGTGACTGCACTGCTGTCAAACTTGAAGAAAGAGTACGACATATTTTGGAAATAGTTATGAAATCAATGTCAATTGATCGGCCTCGGACAAAAACATATAGTTTTTTTTTAAATTTTATTCAATTTAGATAATTTAAAATATATAAACGTAAATGATATCCAAAACATTTTCTATTTTATTTAAGTATAAACATTTTTTTATAATAGAAGCATTTTGATTTTAATTTATTTTAATTATTATAGGAGAAATATTATTGAATATTATATTTCTAAAATTCACAAAAAAATATTTAAAATTAATTAATATTTAAAATTAAAATATATATTTATAAATTTTACTAAAACAATAATTAAATTTTTACAATATTTTATTATTTGTATTCATTATAATAAAAATGATTTTATTTATTTTTACTAATAATGTTTCAATAAATAATTTTAATTCAGATTTATGAAAATTTAAATAAATTATATAACTTTCCAATTTTTTTTTAAATTATTATATTAATTATCTCTTTTCTATATTAATTTTATTGAATTGTTTTTATTAAAATTAATGTTATTTTCTATGGCCCGTGTTAAATAGAAAAAGTAAACTGAAAGTACTGTTAATCATTTGTGTTGAATTTCGAGGTTATGTCGCATGGCATCTATTAACCACCGCTTAAAATCTAGCTCAAAAACAAGCCTCGTGTGATGCGTACGGCTAGAAAAATATCATGATTTACAGCGCCGTCATCGGCAAAAAAATCAAGCGGGAAATCCAGCGTCAGAAAACAAGCCTCGTGTGATTCGGGCTTTACGTATTATTTATGTTCTGTATCTGAGTTTGAAGCTGTTCTAATCACTTTGTCAAAAGGCTATGCGGGCTATGCATTTAAGAGCAATTTCATAATGAAAACTTTATTAACAAATGTACAAACACAAACGAAAAGAGGAAACACATAATTTGTCAACTGATACAAAAATAACACTGACGTTGCTAAAGGTGCGCCACACCTAACGAACTAACGAACGAACATGTCGAACAAGAAAATACAAAGAAGAACGAACAGGAACAGGAACGCCTCAAAGCAGTGAGGGCTTGAATCTTTTTGTTCGAGGATGTACCGTGAAACGTCAGATTTATTATTTAAAGTGGCGGGAAAGAGCAAAATTATTTAAAGTCATCAAATTACAAAATTTGACTGACCACCCAGTAAACCACAAAACATAACAAAGCCATGAACGTTACGTAACGCTGCCACGTTCGCACGAAGCAGGTACGTAACCTGGGAGGCACACAGAAGTATCTATTTCGCGGGCATGAACGTAACGGCTGTTTCGTTGCACACTAAAACACTGCGGTTGCATTTTTGCTACGTATCAAAGTTGAATAAAAAAGCGTGTAGGTGTCTTTTATGTTACATAATTATTTAATTAAATTTCCTGCAAATATAAAATCAATTTCGGATATTTAGTAATTTTATTAAATAATATCATTTATATACAAAATTTACATATTACATAGTTGCAACATTGGAAAACTAAAATTTGATAGTCCATAAAATGTTAACCTATAAAAATAAATATTTATTTATTCATAATATGTATTATGTTTAACTCTCTTGGCAACTTCAGTTAAATCAGACTTGGCAAAGTTAAGTCTTGCGTTAAATATGCTCAACTCACTTGCATCTGTTAATGTATCTGAAATAGAACGAAACATCTTAGTAATATTGTAAACAAATTTTTAATTGAAAATATTGTGAACAAATTAGTCATTTGTGAACATTACCTCTAAACATACTCCTTATTTGAAGTTGATGACTATGTAGTACTTACAATCATATGACAGAGATAATTATTCGATGAACACACTTAATAATTTTCTTGCATTGATTTTATCCTCTTAATTTTTAAGACGTGAATTTTCTAAAAGTAAAACATTACATATTAGTACTAAATCATATTAGTTAAAATTCTCTTCATGTAGAACCTTAATATACCAATTCTGTAACACAAGATCATCAGACTCGAAATACTCAACAATTCATGTTCTCTTCAACACTTAATCCATATAATGTGTGATATCCGGTGTATTCTTTGTTTTCCTTCTCGCATGCTTTTAAGTCTTGCTTGTTTCTTTGATGACAATTTATCTTCTTGATTAGAGCAAATTTCCCTAGTTTGAAATCCATTTTGACATAACCCATAAGGGTTATGAGCAGTCTTTCTCTACAATTGAAAAGCAATTTATATCAGTTTTTGCTTAACTGAATAGTTCTGATGGAATTATAAAGAATATGTATAATACCATATATATTACACTTATCTACCTATAATTCATATCATATCACTGAATTGAGGTTATGTGATTTTTGACTGGTCTGTCAGAAATTTCAATAAATATGTGATAAATCAATTATCACAATACATAAACAGAATTTGCATTGAACACGACCTATATACTGAAAATAACTAATTAATCATTAATATAATAATTTGTAAATTTAAAAAAAAATCCGCACAATTATACTCACCTCTGGCGTTTTCGTATTAAATATATCACTTTCCTAAAAGTAAAACATTACAAATTAGTACTAAATCATATTAGTTAAAGTTCTCTTTGTGTAAAACATTAATATACCTATTCTGTAATACAAGATCATTACTTAAGAAATACTCAACAATTCATTTTCTTTTCAACTCTTAATCAATATGTGTTCTTATTTATCGATATGTGTTCTTATTTTTCTTCTTGCATGTTTTTAAGCCTTGCTCGTTTTTTTTGGTGACAAAGGATCAATAATTTCTAATATTTTATCTAACTTTGTATTTATCTTCTCTATTGGAGCAAATTTCCCTAGTTTGAAATCCATTTTCGTAAGGGTTATCAGCACTGTAATTTTCTCTACAATTAAAAACCAACTTATATCAGTTTGTGCTTAGATAAATAGTTCTGAAACTAATGGAACTATAAAAAATGAATATGTATAAAACTATATAACTTACTTCTCTTTATTCATATATCACTGAATTGAGGTTATATTTCTGACTGGTGCGTTAGAAATTTCAATATTGCATGATAAATCACTTATCACAACACATAAACAGACTTTGCATTGAAGACGGCCTATACTATACTGCAAATGACTAAACATTATTATAATAATTTATAAATTAAAATATGTTTCAGTACAATTAGACTCACCTTATTTGCCGGTTTCATATTAAATACTTTTGCAGCTGACTGTTTAACTAATTTCTACAACTGATTTCGCACTAAATATAAAAGCAATTAATAAATAACGTTTCAATAATTGAAATATCTTGCATTTCAAACATACACGATAAAATACTCAATTCTGTGTCCACGATGCACTAACTGAGTTAACCTATAATTAATTTGACGTTTCGCTCATAAAACACTTCACGGCTATTTCAAAGGCTAATCTATGTGACAATGCAACGTACCGCGCCACGTACCGACAGAAACGCGTCGACGGTGGTTAAAGATCACAACTATACGTAACAGCATCGGTTTTTTTTACTTAACATCAGTTTCGAAACGAAAGTTACAAAATGAGTTACGTAGATTTAACTTCTGTGGTTTACTGGGCAAAAATACACGAAGAACTCTAAAAGGGTGTGACCAAAAATTTTAGGTGGAAACGCCGCTTAACTGATTTTAAGTGAGGACTAATATAATACATACAATATTTTTATTATACCTTTAATATTTTAGTATGATTCTTCCAGACTGCAAAATCTATCAAAATCATTAAGAAATAGCCCGGCAGATATTCACCGAAAAATATTAAGTACGATTACGAACCATTATTTTACTTCGAATAAGCTACGTGGAACAAAAATTTTACACTTTTTTGCTAATTTTGGCCGGCCACCTCGCGCCAAACTATGATCAACGTTAGTCCTTATCGAGCTCAATCAAGCTACATCGAATAGCTTTTAAATTGAAGTTTTCCAGCCGCCCTTTAGAAAACGTCGACAAAGTGTTAAAAAATCGGCTCACATACTTTTACCAAACTTAATCTCATTCGATTCAGAATGAGATTTGAATCAATTGATATTTGAAGATCATTTGAAATTAAGAAATCAGATTTTCTGGCGAAAACTCGGGAAGTTAAAAAAGACAATAACTTTAATAACCACATTTGATGATTCAGTCGATCGATTGAATCGATCAAATCTACTGATCAGTAGATGTGTGATCCTGGTAAAAATGTATTCCGAATATTTGCTTTCAAAATTAATAATGATTAATAATGATAGATTAAATTTCCATACGATGTTTTTGTTTTCTCTTCTGTCATTAAAAACATAAGATTTTTGAATTCAAATTAGATTAATCAGTATCAAAATTATGTGAAATTTAAAGAAATCAAAATGTCAAATATTGCATCGCAGCGCATAAAGCGCGAATTCAAAGAAGCCAGCAAAAATGTAGGCAATTCTTCGGAAACAATAAAAATAGAAATGATTCACGACAGTTTAACAGAACTTAAGGGAGAAATCATCGGACCACCGGACACACCTTATGAGGGAGGACATTTTATTCTTAGGATTGATATACCCGAATCGTACCCTTTTAAGCCACCGCACGTGCAATTTGTCACCAAAATTTGGCATCCGAATATTTCTTCTGTGACAGGTGTTATATGTTTGGATGTTTTGAAGGACGAATGGATTGCGGCGATGACTTTAAGAACAGCCTTGCTGTCAATACAAGCGTTGTTATCTTCAGCAGAAGCGGACGATCCCCAAGTAAATAAAAGATGATATTAGTCTTAATTGTCTAATGCGACAGCAATAAATATCATAGATATTAAAATTTTATCGAAATCTTATACAATATATATAGAATTCGAATAGCTACAGAAAAAAGAGTACAAGATACCTTTGACAGTCAACTTCATATTTTCATTACTCATTATTATGTTTTCTTCAAATAATATTGTAACTTGCTATTGAAAGTCGGTGTATAACTATGGGAAACTAAATCACTTGCAACAGATTATAATCTCATTTAATAAGTAATACAGCAACTCTTATACTACTCCAGAGATTTTCTCGTTTAACACGTTCGCGGCGGGGCCGATTTTTTGGTATGTTTTGCTGTGTAGCCCGCCCCGTGCGAGTCACGTGTTAAATAATGTCATTTATATAAATAGTAGAGTTTAACTCTATATTTTCTCGATGTTTAAATCTAATTTGCACTGACGACTCCAAATCTCTTGTAGAATCTGTTTTTTCTTAAACTTCATTCTTCTTTTGTACTTAAAGCAGTTCATGTCTTCCAAGGCTGGATATCATAAGGGTATCGTCATCTTATTCTGACATCATTTCTTATTCAGCAGCTTTGATTGTCATGAACCATGATTTATTTTTCAATAATACCATGAGGTCAACGGATTTTTCAAACTGAATTTACCACCGACTTCAAGTGCTTCGCTGACCAATCATTCCCCACATAAATTAATTAATATAAATAAAACTAAAAATTGCTTTGAATTGGGTCGTCAAAATTATATTCGATATGGTTCCTTTTAAAAAAGTTTGATAAGATAAAATTAAAGACTATTTGCCATTATATTATATAACCTTGTTCTTATTTTTAGGACGCAATGGTAGCGAAACAATTTAAACGGCGACGTGATCTTTACGAATTAACAGCCAAACATTGGACAAATGTCTATGCCGGTGGGCCCCATATTTGCCCAGATTGCGATGAGAAAGTTCGTAACTTAACCGACTTGGGATTTGCAAGCGATAATGCGAGAAGCATGCTCTCATGCTGTGATTGGGATATTGAAAAGGCTCTGGATCAACTATTTGGCTAAACTCAATATATCATTATTTAATTTTTCACAATAGAAGTATTGCAATTTGATTTATATAGTGTGAAAGCGTTTTATATTTTATAATAATCAGAAACAAAAATAAATATTTCAAAAAATATATATAATAAAAGTAATTTATTTTTACATATTAATAAAAGTAATTCATCGATCATTATGTATTTTTTATTTATTTAAGTATGAAATCATTTGGGAAGGTCAAGCAGAGAAGAATGTAATAATAACAAAATCAGAAGAATCTAATAAACTAGGTGGTCATATTTTCATTGGATCTAAATCTGAAACTTATCAAAAGATTTAAATCTGAAACATATATTGCTTTTAGAAAAACGCGCGACACAAGGAAACCTGGGACTGTCCCAGCCAAACCGGGACGTGTGGTCACCTTAAATAATTCTATGTTTATAACACATCCGCCTGAATTATATAATTATATATAATCATATAAAACCATAATAAATTACAAATTTCAATTTAATCAATACATATAAATATAAGTATTTGATATTTAAATTTATTGTAATGATTTATGTTTATGCAAAACAAATTTTGAATGATTGAACGCTTTTTCATTAATTCTCATTTTGCTATAGTTTTATCTTTTCATATTTTTCAATTCATTGTCTATTATTCAAAAATGATGGAAACAGTACACAAACAATATTTGTGCAAAACTAAGAGTGACAAGATTTTGGGTATTGTACTAATATAATAATTTTGACGACTCACAGCAAAAACTGGATGGAACCTAACAAAATTAATCAACTGATATCTGTGTTCGATTATGAAGCAATAGATTTCCATCAGTGTAAAAATTTGTTTGAAAAATATGGAAAATAAACCATAATTTCTTGATATATATTGAAAATCATTGAATTTCAAATATTTAAAAAAAAAAGTAAAATTTAAGTTACTTAATTTTAATAGTTTAAGTTTTTTCATTATAAAATAAGTATTACAAAATGATGCCCCAATTAAATAATATTTTAAACCTGCATTGACTCCTCTTTCGGTGTGTCAGTTATAACTAGTTCCCTATTTTCATAAGCTAGAAATCCATGTAACTCTATAAGAATGCTGACAAGAGTATCACCTTGTTGGCTGAAATTTTTTTATTAGAATTTATATTTTAAAATAATATATAATAAATTGATGCAGTCATTCCATATCTTTTAAAAAAAATTAGGTTTCTAAAGAATTCTTAACATATCAAATTAATCAAAATAATTTTATTACCTGTTTATTATATCCTTTAGTGTGATACGAGTTGGATCTTCAGGCTTAACCATATCAAAAATTTCATCCTTTATATTTTCAAATAACACAGGCTCTGCTCCATGTGCTTGCATTTGTTCTTGTATTGACTGAAATCAACACATTAATAAAAATATTTGAATAAAAATTGGAAGATATATCCACATAATAACATATTTATTTTGCGTGTATTTATAATTAACCTATTTATCCAAGTTTACTTTATAAAATTTTATGAATTGATTAAAAACGTGTCAATTCATTTGCCTCACACGATCATTTCAAAGTATATTGCAAACCCAGTAAGTATAGAATATTTATGATTTATGCACTTTTATTTTAAATAATAATATATGATATATTATGCTTTAATAACCATGATTATACAAGTTTATAAACGAAAAGTATAATTACCTTAAAGAAGTAATTCAGAGTAAAACCAGTAAGATATTTCTGGGAATCAATATCAAGTATTTTAAAAAAATATTGCAAGCTCTGTGGTTCATGCCTGTTTTCCATAGCTAGCACAAAATCTAAATATGTTTTGTAATCCATTTCGCCTTGATATGTCATACATTCTTGAAAAACTCGGTCCAAAAATGCTGATGTTAAAGTACCTGAGCCATAACTATATAAAAAAAATTCAATGAATATGATAGTTGAAAAATTCATTATATAAATATATATAGATAATATGTATATAACATAATAAACAAATATTATATAATATTATATTATATATTATATTATATATTATTATAAGATATATATGTGTGTGTGTGTATATATTCATATACATATATTATTTTTTAGTTAAAACATATAATTATGTTTCTCGTAAAAGACAGTTAGTACATATGCAAACAAAGGAAATAAATTTATCTGAAATTCAAATGAAATGCTTTTGAATTTATTTTTTGGCTAAAGTTGTACAAAATTATTTGGTTACTGTTAATTTCAAAGAAGCATTTCGATTGATCAAGACACTTTTGAATTGAATTTTGAACTGAAAGAATTTTTTTAAAATAATATAAAATAAATTTACTACTAAAACTTAATAATGGGTCATTTCGTAGATTCCCTAAATAATTTCGTAGTTTTTATATTTGTTCAATAATCTTAAAAAAAGAAGAGAAGAAGAAACCAATCAGATGCCAGTCATCATTACTTTTTTAGTGCAAACTTTTACTATGAAACTCAGGCAAAAGGTAAAATTTACTGACACCTAGCCACAATCACTGGCACATTTTCTAATTATGCCTAAAACAAAAATAGTTACAGTATATTTCTGTTATTACGTAAGCTAATAATAAAGTTTTAGATGAATATTATATATGTGCTTGTGCCCTATTTTGCATTGAACGTACAATTATATGAGAATATTATTAAACAAACCTGGACAACTCGTCTTTACTCAACATTCCATTGTGATCTCGATCCAGTTTTAAATAATGACCATAAACCTGAAGTGCTGATGGAGCTGAAAACCAATTTGTGTCTTGGGATTCTTTTGGCAGATTATTATCACGCAACTAACAACAAAATATTAGATATATATGTCAATTTTGGAACAAAGGATAATATTTAAAACGGTATTTTATAAAACAACAATAATACATACTTCTAGCAGTTCCTCTAGAAAATTTGAAGCTAAAATATTATCAATTAATACTCGACCAGTTCTCAAAGGATCTAAAAAAAACATAAATTTACGAACTGCAGTACATACATAAAAACTGTAAAAAGAACTTTCTAATCCCTTTAATTGTGGTAATGTAGGTATCAGCTCTTGAATATAAGCCTCCAACTCCTAAAAAAAATATACAAATATAAACTATATAAATAAAATAAACACTAAAACAAAGGTTTGAAAAATACTATAATTGATGCATTTATCCATGATCCATTGATCCATTAAATAACAAAGGTAAATGTAAATACTCATTATGTAAAGGTTTTAAAATGGGAAAACTTACATCAAATTATTCAATAAGAATAATGAAAATAAGAACATTTAATTATAATTCAAGAAATTTGCAAGAAATTCTTAGTATTTATAAAATAAAACTTAGTTTATAAAACAAAAAACTGATAGTTTAACATATGAATAGTAAGAATTATCACATTTAACAATACAATAGTAAGCATGAATAAATTCAGTATTATCATTAATTCTGTATTTTTAACAAAAAAAACTTTATTATTCTCTCTCAAGGTACAACTAAATCAATATATCCACTAGCTGTGGAAAATTATATAATATAGGTCTAGTTACCGCTTCATATAGACTGCCTTGCCCAGATACATCATAAAAATTCAGACCAATTCGAGATTGTCGTAGCCAAACTAATCTCATTATATGATTAAATAAAGTCATTATGTTAACAAATCCAGGTAAATCATCTTCCTGCAACTGCACAAAAGAACTTATGGTTAAATAATGCCTGCAACAAAATATAAATTTAAATATCATTATATTAAAACATAAAAAATTATAAATACAGAATTGATATTATTACTCAAAGCAATAAAATCAAAAAGAAATAAATATGCATCAGTTATGTATGTTTATATCACCATAAAAAAAGGCAATTTTAAACTACTCTCAAGTGACATTTTGACTTCTCATTTCATGCAATAATATAATTGTTAGTCTTTGTTTGTTAAAAGACCAAATAATATTTGAAGAAACATAATCAATACAAGTTGTGATTGATATCACTTAAATGGTTTATGATAAATTATGCTTTAAGGTTTTAACAATTAAAATAAAATCTATTTCTAGTGCTACGCATTTTTTATAAGACTATAATAATTTGTAAAAACATTAGAATATAAATGCTAGAGTAATTCTAGAAATTATTTCAGTTTTATATTGAAACACTTTTTAGATTATTAGTTAATTCAACTTTTTGTTTTATATTTTAATTTTGTTTAGGAATAAGAAATTTGCGCCTATACTGTGCATGTACACTGTCGCATTTTTATCTTGTATTGGGACAAGATTCGCTCCAGATATAAATAATACAGAATATTGTGTTAACAACGTAGATACAGTAGAAACTCGATTACCGGACTAATTGTTGCCTAATCGAAAATCCGGATAATCAAATGTATGAAATATAACATTGTGTATTTATTAAAAATAATAAATACATACATAGATATCAACGTAAATCAAAGTTTATTAAGAAATTAACTTTTACTTATGTATTTACATACATATTTTTTTAGATTACATTAAATACATTTACTAAACTCAATAAATTGCAGCATCAATCATGCAAAAATTCGACTTATAGGTTTGTACATATTTATAAATTGGTCACAGTTAGTATTCCGGATAATCACAAATCTGTATAACTGAGGTCCAGATAAACATGTTTCTACTGTATATGAGAATTCTACAAATATAGCTGTGTATAATTGACATAACTTCATTTAAAAAAATACAATCAAAATGTTACAAACAAATATACCTTGCCCTTTTATCTGCTAGCTCCATAACTCTGCAATATCCCTCATAATTTATAAATTGCTCTTCACCACAATTTCTTGTGTGGTATTTCTCCAGTAAACCATATAAAGATTTTAATTCATTATTATTAAGTACTAATGAACTTTTTTCTTGAATAAATAATGAACGGGATTCTTCATTAAATTTCTTAATAAGGTCTGATGATTTATAGTCATCACACATTATTTTGTAAAATTTTGGTATTTTTTGA